CAACATTGCATACATCAACGAGCCTACAGCACTTGGCATCTATTTTCAATTTCTACAGTTTCTGATTTTTCGCGTTTTAAAACGTCATGTCTAAAATTTGGCTCCATTGGTGTATTACACGGTTTGCAGTTTTGCATATTGGAACGTTTCAAAATGTTTTTAAGATACGTTGTCTGGTTCATTGTTATTCGATTTTGTGACAAACTTTGTGTTATTAACATCCCCAAAAAATTTCTAACTGGTCCTAAATCCTTTATTTTGAAAAGTTTTATTCAAAATTTGCTTAAATTCTTCAATTTCTAATTCATTTCGTCGTTAATTTGACAAAGGGGCGTATATGAGAAATAGGCGATTTTTCGTTTTCAGGGAATTTATGTCGCAAAACATCAAATGTATACGCCCTTTGGCGCAAATGAACTGCCAGTAGGTTCTGAGTTATACACATTTTTCTTTGCATGCATCTTCTTAAAAGGCGTATATCACGCTTGTAAAATTTAAGAAATTCAATACACGCCCATTAGTGAAATTAACGACGATTTGATTCTTCCAATAGGAGGTCATCAACATAAAGCAAAATAAAAAGTTTTGAAGATCCTGTGATTTTTATGTAAATACTATATTCATTTTCTGATATATAAAAATTTAAGCTTAACATGAGGTCAATAAATCTTTTGTAGCAATTCTTTGGTCCATATAAGGTTTTTCTTAGCTTAGCGATTTTTCCTTCGTTCCCTTCAAAACTTTTAGGCATCGTAATGTACACATCATCATCATCTATAAGTGCATTCAAGAATACACTCCAAACATCCAATTGATAAATTTTATACTCAAAGTTGTTACACAGGAAAAACCTTATTGGCAACAGGGCTATAAACATCAGAATTGTACCAGTTTGTTGAAAACTCCGTGCCAGTTTGCTGAAAACTCCGTGCCACCAATCTTGCCTTATATGTTGTAACATTTCCAAACTCGTCTCAAGTTGCAATGGCTGAACTAGCCATTGCATCGTCATAACACATTATTTTAAATTCTTCATCATCACTCATTGACAAAAACACTATGTCTAAATCCATTTCATAGTCATGATACCTGGTGTTTCTTTTTGGTTCTTTCCTTAGATTGTATCAGCTATTTACAATTTCTTCATCAGAACCATTATCCTCACTGCCTTGATACACAATACTGTTTTCATTCTCATTTCCACTAAGATTTTCTGCATTTTCATCCGAGTTTTCATTATTTTCCGATCTCTTTTCATTATTCTCCATATACAGGGTGTCCCAGAATATGTGGGCAATCTCTCGGATTCAGATAGAATACAACAAAATAACATGACAATTTCCTATAAAAAAAAATTCCTACGACCTCCCCTACGAAGTTACGTGCCCCTAAAGGACGCCTCTGAAAATCGTTTTCTTGTGGATAACTTCCAAAATACTTCGTGTAATTTTTTTTCTTTTAATATGATGGATACTAGATAAGACCCCTCAAAATAAACCCTTTCAAACACACTTGGTCAATCTAGTTTGCCAGGGACGGACTAGCTTTAACACAATAATGCTCCTTTTTTTTACACCTTGTATGATAAAAGCACAGTCATTTTTAGATAGTTTCAACCTTGAACTAGTAAAAACGTACTCTTATTCGATGTCGAAAAAATGAGCTGGTTTCCAAAAAAAATATTTTTTTGTTTATTAATGGTTTTTTATTGAATAATTTCGTATGTCGGCTCGACACGAGCTCCTTCTAATCTTATGCATTCCATACCTATTTTAATGAGAGATTGTTCGAACCTCGACAATGCTTCAATATGAATCCTTATTTCGCGACAGTGAACAATTATCATTTCTACTAATATTTCCTCAGTGTCATTATTGTGTTGGAGCTAGTCCGTCCCTGGCAAACTAGATTGGTCAAATGTGTTTGAAAGGGTCCATTTCAAGGTGTCTTATCTAGGGGGGGGGGGGGCGTAGGATTTTTCTTTATAGGAAGTTGTCATGTTATTTTTTTTTGTGTTCTATCTAAATCCGAGAGATTGCCCACATATTCTGGGACACCCTGTATATTCCAAGCCATTTGTTACTTCTTCATTGTTTTCTTCCATCATTTTTATAGCTATCTGTCTTATTTTCTACTTTAGTTTCTTCAGGCAAGAAAATAACATCTCTGTGGATTTCCATTTTTCGCTTCCACTTCCCAGGAATATAAGTATACCCTGAATCCTTTTGTATCTTCTCCATATCCAAGAAAAAATCCGATTTTGCTATTTGTGTCCCATTGCCTTGTTTCTTTAGGAATGTGCACGGATATAGAATACAGTACTGCTAGACTTTGAAGTTGGGTATGTCTACAGTTTTTTTTGTCATAATTCAAAAGAAGTGGAATATTTTTGAAGGCTTGAACCTGTTCTGTTCAGTGTGTATGTGATAGTGTTAATAGCTTCAGCCCAAAAAGTTTTATTTTATTTTTCAGTGCTGTTCAATAAAGTTCTTACTGCTTCTACTAAGGTCCTATTTTCATGTTCTGCTCTTCCATTTTGTTCAGGTGTGTAGACCCCGGTTAATTCCTTCCCTCTCAGAAAGGAAAAAAGTTGTACCCCTCTATACGCTTCTCTATCATAGCAGAACAGAACAGAGAAATCTTTTGGCGAGTAACAAGGGTGGTTGCCTCCATGTGACGAATGCCTTTTTCATCCAACATTTCCTTGACATCTTTATTTATAAATTCCAGACCATTATCTGTTCTGAAAATTTTCATGTTAAAACTTGTTTCTCGCTCTGCTAAATTTATAAAATTTTTAATGCATGTTTTGACCTCTGATTTTTGCTTTAAAAAATTTACGTATCTATATGATGAAAAATCGTCTTTGAGAAGAAGGAAATAGCGAGAGCCTCCCAATGACGTTGTTTCCATAGGCCCGCAAACATCAGCATGTTCCAATTCCAAGGGAGCAGTGGCCTGTGGTGATTCGCTATTTTCGAAGCTTAACCGATGCTGTTTTCCGGCAAGACATGGTTGACATACAAAATTCTTTTCACAATCTGTACATTCAACATTATTTCTCTTCAGGATTTCTCTTATATATTTTAAATTTTGATGACCCAACCTTTTGTCATTCTTTACTATTGTTTTTACTTTTACTCTCATGCAATCATAAGGTTTATTATCGAATTCATTGACCCCTAACGAACATTTTTTTCTTTCCAATGCCTGTTCATGTAAATCTTGTGCAATGTGCAAAACAAGTTGATATATTATAATCCTTGTTTTCATAGCTAGAATGCATATAATTTAATAATTCTTGTAGCTAGGGCTTTTGTATTGCCATGTCCATTAACAAATTGACATGTTTCACGATCTGACTTCATAAAATAACCTTTGTCTAGAGCACATCCTGCTGAGAAAAAGTTAAACTTTAAATCAGGTACGAACAAAACATTTGATAGGACGGTTTTTATTAATTTTTGACCGTTGTATGTTGTATTTCCAATGCCCTTTAACCAAAGCTTTTGGCCATTTCTAACTTGAACCATCTTTGATACTTTTAGGTCATTTATGTTCTCGAACAAGTCTTTGTCCCAACACATGTGTTGACTAGCACCAGAATCCAGACACCAGTTGCCTCTTCTCAATTTTTTGGTACAAACCATAAATGCATTTTCCTAGTCCATATTTTCCTTTTTATTATATTTATACTTTATATTTTCCCTTCCTTATCCAACACTGATCGATGTTGTGATGTTTCCTTTTACAATATGTACAAAATTTCCTTGTTTGTGATCTGTTTCCTCCAAATTCTTCTTGGTTTCGTGATTATTTCGGACAAAAATTTTTTTTGAAATGTGACCGAGCTCTGAGCAAATGTAGCAGCGTCTTGTTTGCCCTGTCCTGTTTTGGTTCATATTCACTTTATTAGCAGCTAGTGCAGTCAATTTTTCTTGTGATGTGAGTTCCTCTAAAGTCTGATTATCTGCAGCAACAGACTCTTATGCTGATCTGAAATGTATGTATTTTTCTGGCAAGGATATTAGGATTTTAGTTATGATCATTTTTGCTGAGAGTCTTTCACCTGCTGTTTTTAATTTTGTTTTGATTTCTTCAATTTGAGATAAAAAGTCTAATACTGAATTTTCAAAATTAAACATAAAAAATCTTTGCTGTAATAAATGGATACTTACTACCAACTTTCTAGCGTAAACTGCTTTTAGCTTTTGCCAAATATCCTTTGACGAATCACATGATAAAATATGTGTAAGTGGATTCTGTTTCATTCTTGTTGCTAGAAGTGCTTCAGCTTAAGCATCATCCTTTAGCCACTTGTTAAAATCATCCCCTGCTGTGCTAAAGGTTTTACTCTGGAACCATCCACAATGTCAAAATATCCTCTGCCCTTCAAAATAATTTTGAGATTTCAAATGAACCGGAACTATCATTGTTAAAAAACAATAATTTGCCATTTCAATGGCAATGCATCTATATAGTATTCCTAACAATAATATAATAAAATTTATTCACACCTAGTCCAAATAGGTCTTGTAAAAAAGATGAAATCCATAAAGTGAATAAATCAGCTTAACCTGACTCCAAATCGTGAAACACTCAACTTTTTGTACCCTATAGCAGGATGATGAAGAGAGCTGGTGAGATCGTATCATTGGGAGTTTTTCTGTGGTTTTCTATGAAATTAGGTACCTATTACTTTATATCTCTGTTTCGCATTCAGTTAATGCATCTAATATTGTTCATTGATTAATAGTTTCAAATGCTCCTCCATAGTTTATGAAATCAAGGATAAGAGATTGGTTATATTCCACGCCTTTCTTTGAATAACTTGTATGTATGCAATATGTGTAATCAAAGTATATATTTCAAATAACAATGGCGGCCACATCTATTGGACAAATTTGTCAATTAATTTTGAAATACATATAATAAAAATTTTAAACAAGCTCTCCAATTACTGGCTCTATCATAATCCATAGTTTGTTCGTATTTTCCAGCCGTCAATGCCAGAAAGCAGCGGAGAGAACGCACCACCTACAACAAAGAGCAGCTCAACGCCTTGGAATCGCTTTTCGAAAGAACCCGCTATCCCGACATTTTTGCCAGAGAGGAGGTGGCTCTAAAGATTGGAGTACCAGAGTCAAGAGTGCAGGTAAGAAATTTAGAGTTATTTTCAGTAGGTACCTACTTGTTGTTTTAATTGTATATAAAGTGTGTATCACTAAGCTATATTTATACTCAGGATAATCCTAATTATCCTAAAAATAAACATGAAACAGGTTACCTAGCGTAAGCCCTTACGTCTTAAAAAGTCAAAGGATCCCGGAAAAAACTTTTAAGCCCAGATTAGCTCAGCGTTAATACCAAACGTCTGACGGACAGTTGTTACACATTTTGGCAATATATTGTCGCTATATGGCATTACCCGCCCTTCGGTGGTAATAGTTATTTTATATAGGGCCCGTTGCAACAACGAACGTTGTAAGGGCCGAGGCGGGGTGAACGTCACTGGAACAGCCCTACTTAATCCTCCGCGCTAATGGAAAACAACCCCTGGTGTAGTGAGGATCCGTTCCGACCCATTGTGTTATTGTATTGAATAAAATATATACAGTTATCCCCGAGATTGAATGGAGGCAACCACCCTTGTTACTCGCCAAAAGATTTCTCTGTTCTGTTCTGCTATGATAGAGAAGCGTATAGAGGGGTACAACTTTTTTCCTTTCTGAGAGGGAAGGGATTAACTTCTTTTTTTTAGAATTTTATTTCATTGTCATCGCTGGGATGATTGGAATTGAATTGGCTGATGCAGTTGGACGGAAGACCATTTTTTCCCTTTTGTTTGATCGTAGTAGAACCATTTTTAAAAATATATATTGTATTGTGAACTTTCACAAACATCTCACGATTGAACTTTGAAAAATCGCATATAAAATAATATTTGGTACATAGAAACCGTGAAAATACCTTAAATATTTTTTTTCTTAATTTTTTACACAAAAAAAAAGTAACTAAACTTTTGCTGCACTAAGCTATATCCATACCAAAGAATTACGCAGAGGAACATTTTGTTGCTGGTTGCCGCAGCCCGTTTAAATGGAAAATTGTGTTTATGTTGCTTGTTTCTGGAACTTTCTTCTGCATGTTTGCAGAAGTTTATTCAAGTTCCTTACTGTTTTCAGCAGCAACAAAAGTTCCTATATAAGTTGCTTGTTTCCATATTTAGCGGCAAAGATCCAAAGAAATATTGGTGAACATTTTTTGTTTCTGAACTTCATTTGGGTGGACACATTGTTGCTTGTTCCTTGTTCCCAATACTCGAAACTCAGCCGTTGTTTGTTTGTAAATCGTCGTCGCATCACATTGTTTCGAAACTAGGAACACACACGGCACTGGTATAGACACAGCGTTTGAGGTTGTAGAAAATACGCACGACAAAAAGGATCCATGTTTGTGAAAAATCAGAGCAATACTATACTCAGAGCTGTTCCTCGAGACATTTCTAATGCACTGAAAGCGGTCATGAGATTGTAGTAATTGTACTGTTTTCCGGGCCAATTCTACTGACGTGGAAATTTAGAGTACCTAAAAAAACTTTGAGGGTGGTTTAAGAGGATAAATTTAATAATTGCGATTCTTCGAAAAAAGGATTTTTGGGAAAATATGGACATTTCCACCCCAGTCTTAGGTTCAAATGGTACTGGAAGTTATAGGCAGTAACAAGATACACCGCTTAGGGAACCTCACTTGACTTGCAAATAACTTTGAGGGTGGTTTAAGGGGGTAAAACTAATAATTGCGATTCATCGAAAAAAAAATTTTTGTGGAAATATGGACATTTCCACCCTATAGTCTCGGGCACAACTGATGCTAAGAGTTATAGACCAAAAAACACCGTTTAGGGAACCTCACTTGGCTCGCAAACTATTTTGAGGGGTTAAAACTAATAATTGCGATTCATCAAAAAAGGGGTTTTGTGAATATATGGACATTTCTACCCTAGTTTCGGGTACAACTGCGAAGACAGTACCAATATACACGGTTTAGGGATTCTCACTTGACTCGCAAATTACTTTGAGGGTGGTTTGATGGGTTAAAACTAATAATTGCGATTCATCGAAAAAAGGGTTTTTGTGAAAATATGGACTTTTCCACCCTAGTTTCGGGCACAACTGGTGCTGGAAGTTATAGGCAGTACCAATATACATCGTGTAGGGTAACTAGAAAGACTTGCAAATAACTTTGAGGGTGGTTTAAGGGGGTAAAACTAATAATTACGTTTCATCGAAAAAGGGGTTTTTGTCAAAATATGGAGATTGCCACTCTAGTCTCGGGTATAAATGGTACTGAAGTTATGGGCAGTATCAATATACACCGTTTGGGGACCTCACTTGACTCGCAAATTACTTTGAGGGTGGTTTAGGGGGTAAAACTAGTCATTGCGATCCATGAAAAAACGGTTTTTATTAAATATGAACATTTTCACTCTAGTCTCGGGCACAAATAGTACTGGAAGTTATAGGCAGTACCAATATACACCGTTTAGAGTACCTAAAAAGACTTGCAAATAACTTCGAGGGTGGTTTAAAGGGATAAATTTATTACTTGCAATTCTTCGAAAAAGGGATTTTTATGAAAATATGGACATTTTCACCCTAGTCTCGGGTACAAATGGTACTGGAAGTTATAGGCAGTACCAAGATACACCGTTTGGGGTATCTAAAAAGACTTGTAAATAACTTTGAGGGTGGCTTAAGGGGGTAAAAGTAAAAATTGCAATTCATCGAAAAAAGGGTTTTTCTGGAAATATGGACATTTCCACCCTAGTCTCGGGCACAACTGGTGCTAAGAGTTATAGGCAGTACCAAGATACACCGTTTAGAGAACCTGACTTGACTTGCAAATTACTTTGAGGGTGGTTTAAGGGATAAAACTAATTATTGCGATTCATCGAAAAAATAGTTTTTGTGAAAAAATGAACATTTCCACCCTAGTCTCGGGTACAAATGGTACTGGAAGTTATAGGCATTACCAATATACACCGTTTAGGAAACCACACTTTACTTGCAAATTACTTTGAGGGTGATTTAAGGGGTAAAACTAGTCATTGCGATCCATGAAAAAAAGGGTTTTTATTAAATATGAACATTTTCACACTAGTCTCGGGTACAAATATACTGGAAGTTATAGGCACTACCAATATACACCGTTTAGAGTACCTAACAAGACTTTCAAATAACATTGAGGGTGGTTTGAGGGGATAAATTTAATAATTGCAATTCTTCGAAAAAAGGGTTTTTGTGAAAATATGGACATTTCCACCCTAGTCTTGGGTACAAATGGTACTGGAAGTTATAGGCAGTACCAAGATACACCGCTGAGGGAACCTCACTTGAATTGCAAATAACTCTGAGGGTGGTTTAGGGGGGTAAGACTAATAATTGCGATTCATCGAAAAAAGGATTTTTGTAAAAATATGGACATTTCCACCCTAGTCTCGGGTACAACTGGTGCTGAGAATTATAGGCAGTACCAAGGTACACCGTTTAGGGAACCTCACTTGACTTGCAAATTACTTTCAGGGTGGTTTAAGGGGTAAAACTATGTATTGCGATTCATCGAACAAAGGGTGTTTGTGGAAATATGGACATTTCCACCCTAGTCTCGGGCACAAATGGTACTGGAAGTTATATAGACAGTACCAAGATACACCGTCTAGGGTACCTAAAATGACTTGCAAATAACTTTGAGGGTAGTTTAAGGGGGTAAAACTAATAATTGCGATTCATCGAAAAAAGGGTTTTTGTGAAAATATGGCCATTTCCACCTAAGTCCCGGGTACCAATTCTACTGGAATTCACAAAAACGAGTAACTTGGGGTGGACAGATGTTTATGTAACTTTTGCTGTTGTTTCTGTTTCCATAAACAGGTTGCGGCAATCAGCAACAAAATGTTCGTCTGTGTTTCTTTGGTGTGGCCATAGCATTAGGAAACAAAAACAACAGCAAAAGTTCCGTCATCCTGTCCACACCATGGTTGCTTATTTTTGTGAATGTTTCGTTGTGTTGCTACAACAGTAAACACTGTGTCTACAGTGCAGTGTGTGCTCCTAGGTTCGAAACAATGTAGTGTGTGGTGTGACGATGAATAAAGCTATGTTCACAAACAACAAAGTGTTCCTCTGTGTTTCTTTGGTGTGGGCATTGCTTTAGAAAACAGAAACAACAGCAATAGTTTCGTAAACATTTTGTCCACACCATGGTTAGGTCAGGTACTCATTTTTGTGAATGTTTCGCTGTGTTACTGCAGTAAACGCTGTGTCTACACCAGCATTATGTGTTCCAAGTTTCGAAACAATCCTAGTAATTTTTCGTTCTGAACAAACTGATCGAAGTCACCTGAACTGATTGAACCGTGTTCTTTCCATTTCGGATCACTTCCCCCACCATACTCACCAAATGATTGCAATCAGTTTATTTCCAGCCCCAAGTGATCGCAGAATTTTTATGTTTTGTAGTATAACATACCCGGGTTCGTTCAGCAAGATTGAACGGTGTAAATTTTTCCCGTAATTTTTATTACCTTTCAAACAACAAATCTTCTGAAAAACGAAATGAAAAACAAATAGGACCTACGTTGTGGAAACTTACTCAATTTTACTTACTGGACAGCACATAATTTTTTTCTAGGTTTTAATTTAATCTTTATCGGTGTTGTTTACAGCATGAAACGATTTTTGTTAAATACATGAACATTGCACATGTTATAAAAAGTTGTTATAAACAAACAAAAAAACATAAAAATGGGAAAAAAATAATACTTGTAGAAATTGAACTCTCAAAAACAAAATAACAATTATTCAACTGACCTGTGATCGCTCCTTGACACACACACTAATCACAAATTGGATTGAACAATCAGTTTAATACAAAATAAAAATAAAAAATGAATAATAAACAATTACAGACACGCGTCTAAGGGACCAGTCCAGCTTGTTCTTCAGTCTAATGTCTAATCGCTTCTTCTCAATCTCCCGTTCGGTACCTACCCTTTCAGTAAGCTTTTCCATTGCGGCGCGTCCCGTTCCTATAAACTTGATACATGGTTGCAACATTCACTTTTATTCACTAAACGTTTTTTTTTTTTTTAAGTTAAGATTCAAAGAAATAATATTTTAAATAGGTGGTTTTCCTCAGTTTACTTCTTTCAAATCATTTGTGAGTCAAAACCAGCTGATATAGATTCTTGTTCTTTCAATGCGACAGAAATTAGCGAAGTGATGTGAAAGAAAATAAAAATCACTATCAGTTAAATCAGATTAGTTTGTTCAGTTCGATTAGATCATAAGAATACCTCTAGTGATGTCCGACAGCGATTGACAGACATACAACGACTAAGTTTCGAGTTTTGGGAACAAGGAACAACATATCCACACTGATAAAAATAAAGTCGAGAAACGAAAAATGTTTACCAATGTTTCTATATTTTCTTTGATCTTTGTAGCTAAATATGTAAACAAGCAACTAATAGAAACCTTGGTTGCTTCAACTCCAAAAAATAAGGAACTTGAATAAACTTTTGGAAACATGCAGAAAAAAGTTCCAGGAACAAGCAACATAAACACAATGTTCCTATATGTTGCTTTCGATGTGGACTTAGCTTTAGGGGAAAATTGAATAAAACAACAAAATATCTCACTCTAACAAGATTATTTGAAATTATGAGGATTTATCAAGCCTTTGGGAATGGAGTACCTTGTAAATTCATTATTATTTAATCTCTTATTGTTTGTCTCTCAAATTACGGTCTCAGTAGATTTTCAAAAACTAAAACAAAACATTTCTACGGGCTTCAACTAAAGTTCCTACTCCATTCAAACTGACAAAATTTTCTCTGAGGCCGGTAGCAATTGCATCACAAATGAATGCCTAGATGTCGACAAACAGCAGCTGTGTCCCTATGAAAAGACTAACCAGGCACTAAATTGAATCATTACCGATGGGAGAGCAAATATACCGCCCCTTGTATTATTTGGCATTGTCATCGACACGCCGCAATAATGCTCTTGTTTGGGACCCTGTACTGTAACATATGCGTTTTTACTTTGACGAAAATGTATCTGGCTGGGTTCGATGATAACAATAATAAAGAGCCAGGTCTTTTGATGCCGAGGTTGACACAAAAATTGATTGTATTTTTGGAAGTGACGAGCGGTTTTCAAATAAATTATTTTTTCTGATGTTCTAGATAGAATTAGAAACAACAATAAAATATTTCTTGTTACATTTTAAAAATTTCAATTCTAATTATGTGGATAGTACTAAGGGTTCAGCGAACTAATCGTTTTATTCTCTTTTGTTCCAGGTTTGGTTTAAAAACCGTCGAGCCAAAGCACGTACCCAACAAATCCAGCACGATGCAAGGAACAAGAGCAAAGTTAAACGAAGACCTTCTACTGCGTCCAGTCAAAGTCCTGTAGACGCTCCTTCAGTTGTGCCATCGTTAGTGAAAAAAGTATCTCCGCCTACTCTACTGACACCTTCGAGCAGTGGAGGTTCGCCTCCGGAATCTCACACGAACCCCTTGGAAGAAATGACTCAAAAATACGGTGGAAGTGTTGAACCTGCTACTGTAACTGCCAATACCGCTTTCGCGTCAACGCCACCTTTTACGCAAAATTCACAAAGTCCTAGAACTCAGGTGTCGCAAATATCTCCCCAATCTTACGACTCATCGAATTTGTCAACGTTTAAATTGGAAGGTGGTAGTTCTAATGTAACACCTTCTCCTCCTACTACTCCAGGCAATGTTTACGGTTCAAACTTTGCTCCAGCGTCGTCGTTTCAACAAGAAATGGCTTATAATAATTGGTACATGGGTGGTTCTTCTAGTTCATACCCTTACCAATCTGGGGGGCAAATGCATAATGGTACTACATATCATAATCAAGCAGCTACGGACTATCATGCCACCTATCCTGGGTATTATAACGGGGGTCATAATATGAGCAATATGTATCATCATCCTGGAAGCTATAATGGATATGGTAGCGGATTCGATGCCGGTCAAGGAATGAATCATATGTCACAATAATAGTGACAGAGATTTTTTTCTAGAAAAAAGCCATAATAATCAGGGACAAATAAGGAATATCGGATATTATCGAATCAAAAAAGTCCCTTCCTGATAGGTAATAAAGGTGTGAATGATTCTCTACATATTTAGGTGTATAAAATTTTTCTTCAAATAAAATGTGATAAAAGAGGCAATTGAAGACCTCAAACTTTTTTAAAAAGAATAATTAATTTTTATTTATAACTAATAATTATCATTTGTAAATATAATATAGCTAAGATTTAAATTCTCAACTCTAATTCAAATCGTTTACTAAATCATCTACTATTTGGATTATACCTTAGTTCCTCTTCGGGACTAAAAATTTTTTACAAAATGCATCACAATTATTCGTCAAATCAATTAAGTATTTTTTTAAGTCGTCCTATTATCAAAAGACATTATTTTAATATATTTAATAATTATTTATGTAAAAATGTGAATAGCGATAAAAATAATTAAGTATAGCAATTGTAGAAATTTATAATACTTATAATAAATAAGTTTGTTTGGCGATAAACGATGTAAAAGTAAAAGTTTTTCTTTCCAACATTTTTAGACGCAAAATTATTTTTCGTTTGGCCTTGTATGAAAATTTTACCTAATTGTAACGAATTGTTATAACCAGGAACCAAAATTTATTCTTGGTTTATTTTTGTGTTCTTCTCGTCCTGAAAAACTTTTCATTTGAATTGCAATTTATTGTAAATAATTTTAATTTAAGAAACTAAATTATCTTTCCACTACCTTTTTATATCCTCAAACTGGAACTAAATAAAAAAATTGCAAAAATAATGCTTGTGTTTCATTTTACATTAACATAACCTCGATAATTGTTATTACTTGAACCTTCGGAACAGAAAAACGATTTCATTTTTCTTTTGGCAAGTACAACTGAAAAAACAGGGCCATTTTTTGGTCATAACGATATCGAGGAAAATTAAAACCACAAGAAAATGTGACTTATCTGGTAATTATTGGATCAAGCAACTTTGTTCCATGTCATCAAGAATCACCCAGCTACTTTCATAATTTTCAACACTAATGGTAACTATAAATTTTGAAGACATTGAAGAACATAGCAAACTGGGCGGATAATTTGATAGGTAAGGAAAATAAAGGAAAAACTGCTAAAAATATTGGGTCTTTAATTTCAAGATGGTATGCATATCATAAGATTTCATCGTAGCTGAAATGATGAGTTTAGCTGCGTTGAAATGGTGATTCCATATTGCTTCTGCAGTTTTCATACTGAGTAGTTGGTTTCTTCTGCTGGCTGATGTCTTCCAGTTTCCTATTCCATTTTCTGCTTCTGCGGTCCTGATTTAGCTCAATCCTGTTGCTCTTCAGTCTTCTAAATGGTGTCCCAATAAGAGTTTCCGGGTGTTTTTTTGACTTCACCCACAACACACAATTCTTTTGCTAAAATTTTCAATCACATCTGTACAGGGTAGATGACTTTCGATAGTTTTATAGGGTACAGTCAAAATGACCGAAGATTCTGAGAAACTGATGTAAGCTTCTCGTCCTCTTTTTTAGTGTGTCATCTGATGGTGTAGTCCAGCGGTTCCCAGCCGGTGGGTCGCGCATAGGGTTTTTGGAGGGCTCGCAATGCCAATATTAATATACAGGGTGGTCCATTTAGCCTGAGACAGTCTAATATATCGAAAACGGCGCGTTTTTGAAAAAAAAAAGTTCAAATAAAAATTGAAAGAGTCAAAAATCATTGCTATCATTTTCTTTTCCCCGTGACACCATAATTTTTATTTATTTTTTTTCAAAAACGCGTCGTTTTCGAGATAGTGTATTTCAAATTAAATGGACCCCCGTGTATATTTTTCTGCATTTGACAACACGCCTCGGCCTCCGCCTCAAAAACCGCGCGGCGTTACATGGGCTCTGGGCGCTGCACTAGTAAGGAACCCGTTTCAAGCCTCGTTAGATGTTGCCGACGTTCCTGATGAACTGCAGGATAAATTTTTAGAGCTGAAGAATGATTCCACAGCACCTGTCCTATTTCAGCAGAAATTCTTGACTTAATTTTGATGTGCCATGCATAGTTCATATCCTTATGTCGACCTGCTTGAGCTTTCTTTTCGGATACTAATACCATTTGCCTCTACCTACCTTCGTGAAAATGGGGTTTTCAATCCTTTTGCAAATTAGAACAAAGGCCAGAAATAGACTGGGTGTTCAAGATGACATAAGATTGGCTTTAACAAAAACTCAACCAAGAATTTCGAGACTTGTTATGGAGATGCAAGCTCAGTCATAGTCATCACATTAACAAAATAAAAATTCACTTTTTGTATTTAGTTACGAAATATTATTATTTTTGTTCAAGATTTCTCGAATAAATGAAATTTTGTTTTTTATTTATTATTGGTTAGGGGAGTCGCGACCTTATGAGCAAATCTGTAAAAGGGTCGTGATTAAAAAACTGTTGGGAACCACTGGTGTAGTCAGATCTTCGCCAACTAGATTGGTTTGCGAGCTACAGGTGTTTTTCAAAATTAGCTGTTTTTTATAATTCCCTATATCTTTTTCCCCTACGGAGATACAGAATAAGTGCAAGAAGGAAAAATACGTCTTTTTTTGCATTAAATCAAGTGGCGTACTTAGAAAAAATATGGGGGCCTTATCTTCTGAGATATTCGAAAAAACAAAGATTTTTCAAATGGAAAACCCTGTATCTTATTAGTTCAGTAGTTTGGGAAAAAAATTGCGAATTCAACGATACAAAACACATGATAATCTGATTTGACCTAAATGTCAAAAATAACAAAAAATGCACTTTTTTCTACTACCAATAAAACTGTCTAAAAAAAATAAGTTTAGAAAAATACTATGTTGACAATGTCAACTTCTGTCATTGACATTACTTTTACTGGTGTAAAGTGCACTAGTGCAAGAAGTGAAATTTTACATCTTTCGAATAGTGCGTAAAGTGAGTACTTCAAGCACGGTAGTAGAAAAAAAATTGTATACAATATGTGTATAAAGCACACACTCATATGTGATTGTCGTACTCGCCTTCTGCTCGTACGTCAAAATTCACATTCGTGAAAAAAGGTTCACTTTACACACTTGTTGCATAAATATTATCCAACACCGGCTAGTTATAAGAGTCATTATTTGTGCCAATTTAGACAGGTCAACTATCAAATAACACACTAGTGTGTTATAAACCATTACTCACTAGTGGGTTATGGTTTATAACTCACTCTATTATAACATCAACGCAAAACGTCAGGAAATAAAAATTTATAAATCCTGCTTCAAAGAAGGCTCATTCCCAAAAAGACCTGTTAGTTTTTTCAGTTCTTGTATGCTGCTTGTGTGTTATGATTTCTCAGTTGTTGGATAAAACATTGAATGCTACTCGTGTGTTATGTTTTCTGTGTCACTCGAGAAATTATACCACTCGGCCTGCGGCCTCGTGGTGTAAATTTTTCTCACGTGACTTATTTTCAACGTCACACATTAGTACCTACCATAAATAATAAAAAAATTAATATTTCAATTAGAAATGATTGTATCAATTATTCTTACATAATACATATTTTGTTTACAAACTTTCCAAATATTTATTATTTTAGAAAAGGTATAACATCAAAACAAAAGTTAAAATATCTCACTTCAAAAACAAAGAATAAACAATTTATTGCATAAGCAATTTGAAAATAGCTATTTACATAACAAGTGTATAAAGTGAACCTTTCTTCACGAATGTGAATTTTGACGCACGAGCCAAAGGCTAGTACGACAATCACATGAGTGTGTGCTTTACACACATATTGCATACAATTTTTTTGTAAAATTTCACTTCACGCACTAGTGCGTAAAGTAATTCACTTTACACCAGTAAAAGTAATGTCAACGTCGACACTCAATTTGGTATTTTTCTAGTGAATTACTTCACGCACTAGTGCGTAAAGTATTTGTCTAAATTTATTTGTTTACACATTTTTATTGGTAGTAGAAAATATTTATTTATGCAACAAGTGTGTAGGCCAGTGCGACAATCACATGAGTGAAAAAAGGAGCTTTACGCACGTATTGCATACAAATTTTTTTCAACTACCAATCAAATATGTTTAAAAAATAGTGCGTGAAGTATATTCACTTTACGCACTAGTGCGTGAAGCAGTGGCGGCTCGTGGTATAACATATTGGGGGCGCACATAATTTGTAATTCATAATAAATGCCGAAAGGGGGATGCCCGCCGGAGGCGCGAAATTTTTCGGAGTGCCACGCCCAGAAGTGTTTATTTTAGGCCTTTAAAAAAATAATTTATTGTAAGTGATCGTATGAGTTATGTGATGTGTTTACCTACCAATAATTAAAAATATTGTTAAGGGATTTCATATCTACCCTACCAAACAACCAACTAAGCTCAATTTAATACTTTTTTCGGTCTATCAAATCGTGGAAATTGAAGGATCTTATATCAATAAACTAGAAATTAAGTAACAAAGTAACTTACCTCGCTGAGTACATCGTCCTGGTCTAACAATTGTTTTTATACATAAATGTATTATAGTTTTCAATCTCACAATTCTCACAGACACGTTTTGTATTGAAAATGAAGTCGTCTGTCCTTTTTTGAGATAAATTCTTCAATTACCAGTTCGTTAAAATTTGGAATTTCTTGAATCATTTGTTTCTCAATAGATAACATTGCGAGGGCAGTTAGTCTCTCCTGTCCCATTGTACTTCTGAGGAAAGTTTTTATCCGTTTTAATGTGGAGAAGCAACGTTCCGCTTCTGCGGTTGTCATAGGCATTGTTATAATCGCTTGAAGCACTGAAAATGTTTCAGAGAAATCTGCTTGCAAATTATTTTCAATTAAAAACTTAAGAAAGTGGACTGCTCCAGAAACTTCTCCAAAATCTCCTCTTCTGTATATTATTTCCAATTCTGTCTTTAATTTGTTTTTATTCAAAAATGGAAAGTTTCGAACTGCTGAATCTAAATGTTGCATAGGAAAATTTGATGAATACGTTTCAAAATTTTCCACTGAAAATAAGTGTGCTATTTCCAAATGGCCTGTGAATGAAAACCTTTTTTTTATTTCTGCAATTATGGTGTCACACACTTCTTTAGCTTGTACAGTCGTGGAAACATAGGAATTTCTCTCATCCATCTTTCTTCTTTTCCTAGCTTGACTCTCATCAATATCTGCTAACTCGATTTCTCTAATAGTATGTATATTATCTCTTTCTTTTTGGATATTTTTTTCAAACTCAGT